GTATTGAATTAGGTCCGGATTTATGTATGCAAAGTTTTGTTAAAATCGGTTCAGATATAGATATAGTTTCCATTTATAGATTTGTCCGATTTTATGTAAATGGTGCACCAAACTTCTAAAGTTTGTCCGATTGAGACAAAATTTTGCACATCGCATTGAACTAGGTTCGGATTGATGTATGCGAAGTTTTGTTGAAATCGGGTAGATATAGCTCCAAAATTCCAATATTGCACCAAACTCCCAATATTGGTCCGATTGATACACAATTTTTCACAGCGTATTGAATTAGGTCCAAATTTATATCTGCAAAGATTTGTTAAAATCGGTTCAGATATAGATATAGCTCCCATTTATAGTTTCGCCGATTTTATGTAAATGGTGCTCCAAACTGCCAAGGTTTGACCGATTGAGACAAAATTTGCACAGCGTATTGAATTAGTATGCGAAGTTTTGTTGAAATCTGGTTAGATTTAGATATAGCTCCAATATCCCAATATTGCACCAAACTTCCAAAATTGGTCCGATTGAGACAACATTTTGCACAGAGTATTGAAATATGTCTAGATTTATGTCTGCGAAGTTTTGTTAAAATCGGGTTAGGCTTAGATATAGTTTCCATATATAAGTTCGTCCTATTTTATGTAAATGATGCAGCAAACTGCCAAGATTTATCCAATTGAGACAGAATTTTGCACAGCGCATTGAATTAGGTTCGGATTGATGTATGCAAAGTTTTGTTGAAATCGGTTCAGATTTGAATATAGTTCCCATATGTGTATATTTACGTCCGATTTTACGCAAATAGTGTTCCGAGGACCCTACGTTTTTTTCGTCTAACATAAAATATTGCATAGCGTATTGGATTAAAATCGGTTCTGGTGTAGATATAGCTTCCATATATATTAGGTTAGGAAAAAGAAATCCATTATTTTTTCGACAGATAGATTTCTCGTAAAGTATCGATCAAATAATTTCAGATTTATGCTCGTTGGAAAGGTGATATTTCGCAGTAAAAAAATTAGTTTGCTGTTTTTTGTGGTGCATTCAGTTGTAAGTTAAAGAGTGTGCAAATTGGAAGTGAACAAAGAGAAAATTCGGTAAATTTTATAGTTTTTCTTTGACAAATGCGAAAATTCAAACCAAGCGGCTAAAATTGTGAATGGTGTTTATGGTTCCGATACTGTAAAAGCCCATTATGTGCAACTTTGATTTCGTAGATTCCGTTCAGGAATTTTTGATGTACATGTAGAAATGATCGAAGTTGACCGTCATGTTGTCATCGCTCAGAAGCTATATGACCATAAAACTGTTTTAAACTAGAATTGATCAACAGGAAAGGAGTCGTGTTCCACCAGGACAACGATAGGCCACAAATATCTACAGTGACTCGCCAGAAACTTCGGTCCGATTATCATCTTTTTCTTGCATTGCAAAATTTCTTTAATTAAAAAATTGGTTTGAAGGGAGGATTGTGAAAATCGACTACTAGAGTTTATTTCAAATAGAGAGCTGGACTTCTATGAGAGAGACATTATAAAGTTAAATTTCAAATGGCAAATCATACAACAAAACGGTGCATTAAAAGTCCTATAGTTCATATACAAAATAATGCATATAGTGTTCCCCAAACTAGTATTTTTCCCGATTTCATTTCATTTGATTTCACCAAACTAAAATATGTGCACAACATACCAAATCGGACATAGAATAACGTATAGTGGATTTTGTAAAATGTATACAGATGTAGATATAACCGCTCTATATTTTTGTCTGAGTTCACATTATTTGTGCGCCCAATAATACGCCCAGATTTACTTATAGCTCCCATACATAATTTTGCTGGATTTCATACAAATGGAAAACCAAACCCAAATACGCCCGATTCACATTAATTTTTGTATAGATTTCAGAATTGGATGTGTCGGGCACCTTTGAACAGGCCAAGTAAACTCGAGTAAAAAAACAGATTTGTTAATTTTTGCCTTGGATTGCTTTAAATTTCAAATACTACCAATATTATATAACTTGCGAACAAGAACTACTGAATGGGCGATCAAACTATGACAAGTCAAAAAATCTGAAAAAATATACAGGAACCTCATTTTAAGTTCGTTCATAGTTGATTTTTTATTTCTATGTTTTAAATATTAAGATAATAAATAATAATTTACAGACCCGTATACATGTTTAAACAAGCTTCTCTTAAAAATGTTTAGATCTCACAATTGATTGAGCTGGTTCTAAAAGGGTATGACTATGTCAGATTACCGACTATTATAATATTTCTCCTATCCATGTTACGAACGCCACACCTTGCCAATAATACCAATTCCGATATTGCGGACGAACAAAATAAATGTTTATTTTCCGTTTGTAGATGCCATGCACTAAATATAAATGTACGAAAGGATGCCAACAATTTAAATTGTATCCTTTATATTTGTCACTATTTCTTTCTTTTGGTATATTTCTCTTGTACTTATTTCCATAAACGAACAACGAACGAACGAACAAAATCGGGATAGGAAGAGAAACAAGTGTTGTGCAACTACAATCTCTGATAATGTGACATATGTATATATAAGTGTTTGCCTGTGTGTGTGTGTGTGTGCTTTTGTTTCATCTTGTAGAAAGTGTCGGTGTCATCTTCCCAGCAGCCGTACAACCACCACCCTCCTTTTATTGCATTACGTATTTTAATCCGTTAAATTTAACTGTCATTTTAAAAATACAAAAAGCTTATTACCTCGCTCAGGAGAGATTTATTTATTCAATGTTTGGCATTTTCTTGAGAAAATTTAATTTAAGATATGATTTTTCAAGAATTTGAACTTTATTACCAGATGATATAACATTTGACATAAAGTGGATATTTCTGTGGAATGACTAGTGATTGAAATTAGGTGGAACATTTGTCAGATCTTTTAGGGTCGTACCTAAATTCATGCGTATGCGTACGAATTTATTCACCTCAAAAGTTAATTACATGTATTTTAATGAATATTACACAAATACGCATTGCGTATAAAAATATAAAGTTTAAAATTTTCAACATTGACAAAGCGTATTTTGGAGTTTTTGTTTTTTGAAAATAGAATTCTAGTCATTGAAAAGTTTGTTTTTCTATAAATGAAAACATTTTTCGATCAATTAAAAAAATGTTTTCATCCATTTTCGCCGCTTTCAATTGGCACAGATGCAAATACGGACATCTTACAAACCCTATAAAGGTGAGTATTTCTGTATGGAACGCAATAAATTAGGTACGACCCTTATACACAATATTATAAAATACCATCTGTCAATCGCAAGGACTAACTTTGTTTTTTTTCTAACGTGCTTGAACACGTCCTCTATAATTCGTAAAATTTTGCTACGAATTATGGTGATTTCACTGTACAATAATAATATCGATTGTAAATTGCAAAACAAAAAAACGAGAGCGGCGAGTCCAAATATATTGTCCTCAATTTACTTGAATGAAGATAAATATGAATTTTCAATTGAAGTTGGTGTTTTCCATTTCCAATCTATCTTTAAACGTAATACTCGTTTTAATCCTTTTTTTTCTTTTGGAATTTCCTACAAAGTGCATAAAATAAACGGGTTCTATTGGTATATCGTTTTCCTGTTGTTTTTCTATAGTTTTGGTTAGATTATTTTTCTACATACATATTTATTTTATTTGGTGCTCTCAAATGCGACATCAAACGATTTATATTTTTATTTGTGTCGAAGTTATTTCTTCTTTTGCTTTGGCATAAAACATTTTGTCAGTTGATATTTTCCATTGGAAACTCTTTGTATTAGCACTGGAGCGTAACATCAAAATAGAACAAGAGCGAGCGAAAGAGAGAAAGAACTGAATAAACGATTTATGTTAAAACTATGCATCCAGTCCGCCTGCCACCCAGACAGACAAAGAGTGAAGAGGAGTGACATGCCAAAGAGGCGGAGACAATCACAATTCAAAGAACACGCAAAATTTCTGTAAAAAAACGAACGTAAATTTAAATTGGGAACACAAACAACAGCTAGTCGTGTCACTGTCAAATAGACTGTGAAAATCCTTGTTGTTTGTGAATGTGTGAGTGTGCGTGTTTGCAATCAGTGTTTGTTTATGCAAATAAAAAAATATATATTTTTAAAATATCTTCCTAAAATTATAAAGGGAAACATTTGCCTGGCATCAATGCAACATGGGCTTTGTTTAGGCAAGGAGTTTGCTCTACTCCTCGCCGTGTTTGTGAGGGGGGTGCTTAACTTCTTAACTCAAGGGAGCGGGGGGTGCGAGCGACAAGAACTCCCAAGAAATTAATGGTGAATGTGGTGATTCGCGTGTGTTGGTGTAGGCAGAAAAGAGAATAAACAAATAAATAAAACACAAGTATTATTAGTAATAATCTATTGGTTTTATTGGAGGCTCTTTTCCTATTACAATAAATAAATTACCTTGTGTAATTTATGGTGGCGGCGACAGAGGCCTGTTAGTATAACGCGTAGACGTTATTTGATAGTAGAGTCCAAGTTGACTCTTCGATAGCTACAAGACAAGTGAAGTGAGAGTTCTTGTGATCGCAGAGGATCGTTTGTCTATTTCTACTAATACATATACATATTCCAATGAGTGAAAATAGCAAGGAGAGCATAACAACTACTTCCCCGCTGGTAGGTCATCCGCGCCCTACGGTATCCGCAGAGGGAATGTGTAGGGGAGATGCCAGTAATGCCAATCAGCATCCGTGATTGATCCAGCTCAGGAAGTGGTGTCAGAACATATCAAACTTATACATTCCGGCCCCCTTGCTACGACCGACTAAGTAGCAATAAAAATGGAATATGGGTTAATTAAATCTTTAAAATGAACGTAAATTCAGATTTCAAGTGAGCTGTTCAATGTTACTAGTTTAGTATGCGATATGTTTAGTAAATAGGCGATTTATTACGACAAAACGATATTAATTTTTACTTAAATTGTCGAATTCAACATCGGTGCGATATTAGGTGCTAGTAATGGGAGGAAGCGAACCGGTGAGTAAGTACCCGAAAATAGACTTTTGGGCCAACAACGAATTAAGAACAATTTTTGGGGGTTCAGCTTCCAATATTTGGGGGTACAAATCAGCGCCAAGTAGCAAATCTATTGGGCTGCCATCAAAGGTATCAGCTAAATCTAAGGGAATTTTAGATTTCAACATCGAAATAGGTGGAGGTGAAGACAATTTCCTCTTAACACTAGGCCGAACAAGTGCTTTTGCTTTAACAATTTTAGAATTTTTAGGGGACGACAACTGTAGAGAACAAACTTCTCTTGGTGTAGGTGATTTGCAATCTTTCTTCGAGTCAACCGAAATGCCAATTGCATTTTTAAGTTTTCTACTAACAATAGATACCTTTGAAGAAGGATCAATAATGGCACGCGTAGGATGCGTTTTTCCATTATGAACTATATTAACAACTGCTGTTCCTAAGAGAACACTGGTATCTTGTGAGGGGTGAGGTATCTGGTGATTCTTACGTTTTTTGTCGGAAGACCGCGGCAACAAAGAAGATTCTCGACTTTTGACTTTAGTAAAAGTCGGAGAAGGGGTTTCCGAAGAACGCGACAACAAATTCTGTCCTCGACTTTTGACCTTGGTGAAAGCCGGAGGACTTTTGGAAGAAGCAATAACTCTATTAATTTGTGGCCGGTGAAGAAGGCTGTGGTGTCTCTGTTTGCACACAATGCAACTAAATTTGCTTTTGCAGTCTTTTACTGCATGACCACGGGATAGGCAATTTATACAACACTTATTTTTCTTCAGAATCAAAAATTTGTCCTCAAAGGAAAGTTTTAAAAACTGGGGGCAAAGTCGCAGATGATGACTCTGATTAGGACAAATGGTGCAAGATGTTGTTGACGAAACTGTAGTTCGATCAGAGGTAAGACATTTTGAATTATGTACCGACAACAATTTAGGTGGAAAGACATTTTGCTGTGACTTCTTCGAAGAGTTGGGAGAAGTCATTTTCTTTTGCGATAACAATACATTTTCGGAAGGGAGGATATTTTCTATGCACATCAAAGTTTGTATTCTCTCTGTTAGAAACGTATCTAATTTTCTCCAGGTAGACAATGACGATTTGATTTTGATACTTTGCTCCCACAGAGTCAAAGTTAATTTTGGCAAACGCTGCAAACAAACAAATACAATAATTGGATCCCACTGATCCGTGGCCACGTCATAGACGGACATTGCAGCAAGGCAACTATTTATGCCACGTTGGATAGTTTTAAGGCCAGAAATAGTTTCAATCTCGACGGAGGGGATGTCAAACAAAGATTTGAGGTGACAATGTACTATGATACGTTTGTTTTCATAAGTATCTGAGAGAGCTTTCCACGCTAAAGGGAAACTACAATTGGTGAGTGGAAATTTGGAAATGATTTCGCGAGCCTCACCGGTGGTCTTCTGCATTAGATGACAGAGACGTTCAATGTCAGATAAACAACAATTATTTATAAAAAGGGTGGTGAAGAGATCCCGGAAGGTGGGCCAAGATATGAAATCCCCAGCAAAAACTTCAATGTCGATAGGTGGGACAACAAAACTATGATTATCGACAGGTGGGCAAGTGTAGCTATTGGAGGTGGTAGAAGATTGAATTTCGGGAGCAACGAGAGAGGTGGTGGACTGCACAGAAACCGAATCGACGGATTTGCTCGAGAGCAAACCGGAAGGTGAACAATTCAACAATGTGCTTGATGGATTGGAGGTACTACAATTGGATGGAGGTGGTGAAATTAAAGAAGCTATAGCCGGTGGAAAATTATCATTAATGGGAGATTTAAGGCGATCGAGATGCCGATTTATTGTGGTTAGACACCAGGAATACGCAATAAATGCAGTATTATATTTTTCCTCTACGACATCAATATTATCTGTCTGTGCAGTCTCGGATGTCGTGAGGTATGTTTTGCACTCTTCGTACGTGCAATGAACTTTATTCCACAGCTCTCGAATCTCTGAACTACGAATTTCGAGATTGTAGACAGAATATGTGGATTCTTTAATATTTTCAAATGCTGCTACACTTTTCAAAACAATTTCAGTAGCTCTAATGAAACGAGTAAGAGGAGTTATCGACATTTTGTTCCTGAAATGTGAAAACCCGCAAAACGAAATTTCTCAATTGAAGAATAAATAACAATTAATTAAATGAAAAAATCCCAAAATTTAACAAAGATTGCTATAGCTCAACCAAAAAATGCAAATTACAACAAAACCTCCAATAATATTAACAAAAATAAACAAATAGTTTCTAAAGATGGTATATTATATAATCTCCAGTGTTAAAGTAGCACAAAGGTAGGGAAAATAAGAAGAAACTTCCCCTAGGTGACTAAACCACTTTAATGCAGGGTATATTTGAGGCGCCAAATGAATGCAAATTTTCAAAAAATTCAAGAAGGTGTACTCAACTGTTAAAAAAAATATTGAGTAAAAACAACAAAAACAAGGAAGAAATATTCGAAAAATTAATATTTTTCCATGTGCTAAATATGCTCCAAAAGAGTGCAATAGTTGCCGACTGTAGGGTACAATTGTCCCAAAATATCAAATACCCTACCAACAAACAGTAATTATTTCGAAAAGATTCAAAAAATAATTTTAATATTAATTTTTGCAAATTCACAA